GCAGGTTGGCGCAGGTGATGGGGAGGGGTGTGGGGGGGCAGGATGGCACGGGTGACTAGGTGCCAGGGTCAGGTTGGTGCAGAGGATGGGGGGAGTGCTACCGAGGTCTGGTGGCCCAAGTGTTTGGGGGGGGCACTCTTGGGGCTGCCCCTCACACAGCTGTGGGAGCCAAGGGGAAAAGTGGCGGGGTGTAGAGGAACACTGGGGCACAGGGCATTTGGATGGGCTGCACCCACATGTGGAGTGGGCCACATTGCAGGTGTTTGGAACGTGCGCAGGGGATGCAGGGGCATGGAGCTGGCATAGAGAGGCACAGGGAGGCCGTATGCTTTGATGCTGTTCCAGAGGAAAACGTTTCAGATTCCCCCAGGCCTGACAGTGAGATTGGGAATTATCCCCTTTAACATTCATTGTTTGCACTGTGGTAGCACCTAGGGGCCCTCGGCAGGGATCGGGGCCCGTGGTGCCAGATGTAATGCACACACAGAGCAGACCCACGGTCCCTGCCGTGCAGCACTTACGGCAGAGTACAAGAGCTGACACAACAGGTGGCTACAATGCACAGTCATGGAGAATACGTCCATCAATGGCTGTAAGTCAAGGCAGTCAGGGACGCAACCCCATGCTCCAGGTGTCCCTAAACTTCCAACTCCAGAAGCTGGAAGTGGACGACAGGGGATGGATCACTCGATAATCGCCCTGTTCTGGTCCTTCCCTGTGAAGCACTTGGCAGTGGCCATGCTCAGAAGACAGGATGGTGGTAGCTGGCCCATCGCTCTGCCCCGCTATGGTTGATCTTATATGCTCACAACAAAAGGTCAGCAAAGCACCAGGTAACAATGAGAATTATGAACATCAGAACACTCCCTGGTCACAGCACAGCCGGAGCCTAAAACGAGGTCTTCCCCATGGGTGGCACATGAACTGCCGGCTTGGGGAGCCTAGCCCCCAGCCCCACCCCTTCTGCCCGAGGCTCTGCCTCATCCACCACCACCCCCCCACAGCCACTGGCCCCCACCCCAGGCTAGCACCCCCAGCCCCGGAGCGCCGGGAGGGAGGGCAGTGTGGCCCCAGCCCCTGGAGCCAGGCCACAGAGCGGAAGCAGGAGGCCTGGGGGCAGAGCGTGGGCAGGGCCATGCCTGGCTGTTTGGGGAGGCACAGCCTCCCCCAGCCTATGGTACCCGCCGCCCATGGTCTTCCCCGTGCATTGCACTGCAGCCCGAGGGAATGAAATTCCTTCCCAGCAGTGTCACACTGCGCCACAGAATCCAGGTGTCCTGCTGCCCCATGGCATCGCACTGGGCACAGTGATATTTTGGCACAATGTTGCGTTGCTGTTTTTCAATGCTCCAACGTCCCATGGCTGCCTGAGGGCACTTTGATGTGACGTGACTGTTCCGTGGATGCTGTACAGCCCTGCTCGCAGTGTGACCGTGCTGGGCTGCAACATCAGCCAATATTGCCTCACTGTTTCCTTGCAGCTCCCCCTCCCGTCGGTCTGTCTGTCTCTACTTGTCTCAGAGGTAAACCGAGTCCCCTCCTGCGTTCCTCACTTCAGCCGTGGCAGTCGTGGAGCAGCAGCCCACCCATCCTGCCGGGACAGCTTAAAAATCCACCAAACTCGCGGTTTGCGCTAACTGTGCTGTGAAGACGCCCCCTAGGACTGTCGGCTTCTCTCCGTCCGCTGGGACAGCGCCTGGTGCCAGAGGCTCAGTGGCGGCACCGCCATGCGGTCGCAGCACCGCAGCCCAGGCCTGCGACACCAACTCTGCCTGGTTACAAGGGCACCAGGGTGTAAACATCACCGCGGTGGCTCAGCGGAATTCCCCCTTCCAGCTCCGTGGACCCGGAGAACGGTACGCCTAGCCGCTGCTGGAAGCAGGGGGAGTCGGCCGTTGGCTTCGCATACGTCACACCAGCTCCAGGTTGATCGGTCTCCCTGCTAGCAGCAGTGATCCCAGGTGCGTCCGCCCCATGCACACAGCGATGCGCTGGTGACGGCGCTGCCGGGCCCCTTTCTCCTTTGACATGGCCGCTGTCGATTAGGGGCAGCTCCTTTTCCATTCTTTTGGTGAGAGGGAATTTCCCGTCGCAAGCCGATGGGCCAGAGGCCGGGTGCGCTGCCGAGTTCGGGGGGGTGGCACAGCTCTCGTGGATGCCAGAAGCCGGGCCCCGGGAACGACTCAAGCTTTGCCCTCTGCGTGCAGACGCCTCGGGAAATAGCCTCACAGAAAACCACAGAACTTCTGAACGTAAAACAATGTGGCCCGGGCCTGGGAGCCTGATGCCAGAATTCAAGATGGCTGCCAAGGGAGAGAAATGGAGCCAAGCCAACACTCTAGCCTTCCTTGTCCATGATCGATGGTTTATTAGCACCTCTCCCACCTCATTGGCTAACCGCAGGTGATTGACAAGCACCCTGGTGCAGATGCAGGACTCTCCGATTGGCCGGGACTCTCTCAGGCCCGTAACTTGTACACGGCCCAGCCAATAAGCAGGCAGGGACGACAACCCACGCCGTAACCTATAGCTTCCCCCCGAGGCTATTCGTGGGGCGCTGAAGCGAAGCGGCCGTGAAACGTCTGCGCAGGCGTCCCGGGGGAGGCTGGAGTTCCCAAGCCGGAGAGTCTGGTTTCCGGGCACGGGGACCGGTGGCGGCACGTCACAGCCCCGGGAATTGCTCTCATCTTGGCCCCCTGCGTTTGATCTCCTGCCAGGCTGCGCGCTCGCTCGGGGCAGTCTGGGGAGGAGACGCCCCGGAGGCCAGGCAGGCTGGGGGGGGTCACACAACAGCAGGGAGGCTTTGCCAGCCCCTGTCTCGCTGGCTCCTCAAACAAGAGGGTTTAAAGTTCACAGCAGAGGGGGCTGGTCGTGGCTCCCCCCCCCCGACTTCGGCTGGAGCTTTGCAGGGGCGGCTTGTCCCCCTTCAAAGCGTGGGGGGGTGGCAGCAGCCGGTTGAAGCGCAGATGCCCTGCAGCCATACAGCACGAGAGCGAGCACTCTGCTCACGGGTGCCCTTGGCTTCCGGGCGGCTGGGCTGCGTGGGATGAGAGGGCCCCAGCCTGCAGGGCCACGCCGCTGTCACCCGCCCCTAGCACGAGGCTCGCTCAGAGGGGAGGTTTTATTGGCCTAGGGACAGGCCCCGAGCCTGTGGGTCCCCACTCAGCTCTCCCTGCACCACAGAGGCCCCTGGGCCCAGTGCGTCCCTCCTTGGCGGGCAGCAGACCAGCCCCAAAACACTAGTAGGGCCTACACAAAAACACGGGCTATGTTCTACTCACAGATTGTTTTTAAAGTCTTGATTGGGGGTGGAGGTCAGGAAGGGGGTGGGTGACACACCATGCTCAGAGGGTCATGTTAGGGGCAAAGCTCAGGCTAACAATCCACATGTGCCCTGGGGGCAGGCGGAGCCGCACACAGCCGGGACATGGGCTCCAGAGGGAGGTGGCGCTGCCCATTCCTGCAGGTGGGATGCCCGTGGGCAGCTGCTCTACAAGGCAGCCTTGTGGATGGCAAGGCAGCAGGAGCCAGGTTGGGCTGGTCCCGGGCAGGGCACCCACTCTGTTTGCAGCCCCCGGCCCCGCTGCTGCTCAGTGCGTCGTCTGCAGCCTGAGTGCCGGATGGACGGAGCCTGCCCCACGGCATGGCCGTGTGTTGCTGCCAGTGGGGGTGCCTAGGGGTGCCCAGGGCGGCAGTGATTAGCTCATGCCGGCCTCCTGGACAGACCTCCTCTGTGAGCGGCTGCTGTGAGACCGGAGATGCAGAGGGTGCAGCCTGCAGGGAGCAGCGAGGGGGACTGGGGTGGCCTGCACACAAGGGGTCGATTGTACACACAGGCCCCAGCTTCCTTCCTTGGCGGAAGCCACCAGTAAGCAGGGCGAGGAGGCAGCAGGGCAGGGCAGGGCCGCCCCAGGACCAGCCTGTGGCCCTGCAAAGGGAGGCTGCAGCAGGAGGTTTGGGGTTCCCGCCGGCTGCACGGGGAGGGAGGGGCTCTCACCTGGCAGTAGCAGAGAGGTTCGGCCAGTCCTGGAGCCGCGAAAGGAGCCAGCCGGGCTCGGAGACACAAGCCGGCCAGAGCGCAGCAGCTGTAACAAGCCGGGGCCTGTACGGCTGTGTCGGTGCTGTGAACCTCGCTGCAGAGCCCCGCGAGCTCTCAGCACATGCGCCCCTCGCTGTGGGGCTGGGACGGGCTCTGCACTGCTCAGGCCACGGGCCTCTGCCAAGCAGGGGCTGTGAGAACAGGACGGGGGCCAGACTGCTCCAAGCCGGGGTGATGGGAGGCACCTGCTGGGAGTCAGAGGTGCCCAGGCAAAGCCCCAGGGAGGGGAGATGGGACGAGCGCTAAGGGGGGCCTGGGGCTCCCCGTGGTACTGGATGCCTCCAGCTGGGCAGAGGGGAGGGGGGCGGTCTCTCCAAGCCCTGAGTCAGGCCCCAGAGCTCATGAGATGCTGGTAAGGGCCCGTGCCTGGTTTTTCGGGGTGTCTGAGCCCCCGCCCCACAGCAGGGGTGATGATCACAGCCTTGCCGCTCCCCCAGGCAGGCACCAGCAGGACCCAGCTGGGATCTGCACACGCAGTCTGTGGCATGGAGCGCCCAGCTCCCCGCCCCCGGCAGCCCCCGGGATCCCCCGTGCGAACAGGGGCTCTCCTCCACCCTCCCTGCCTGGCTCCTGCTGCTCCCCCAAACTCCTCCCAGCTCAGCCCCAGCTGCCGCTCTGATTGGCTGCTCTGCCCAGGGAGGCAGGATAGTGGGGAAGGCAGCCAATCAGACGTGGGGGGGGGGCAGGCAGGGGGCTGCCTCCCAGCTCTGCTGCCCTGGCAGCAGGTGGGCCCAGCCCAGACCCGTGCTGCCCCTCACCACCACACCCCACTTTGGCCATGGGGGCTCCTCTCGGCCACCCAGAGCCAAGGGAGGGGCAGGGCAGAGACAGATGCGTGGGGGAGAGGGGCTGAGGCTGCCTCCTTGCAACCCCAGACACACACACACCCCCACACCACGAGGCAGAGAAAATACTGAAGCGGTTTTATTTACAGACCCAACAAAAACCCAAATGAAACAAAGGGGTCGGGGAGGAGTGACGCCATATTGCACAGTATGAACCCCAGAGATAGGGGGGCACAGGCACCAGCGTATGGGGAGCCCCCAGCGTCCCCTCCCCCTCAGTGCCTACTGCCCCTTTCCCAGCCACAGGGGGGAGAGAAACAGCTTCCCGGGCAGGAGTGAGTGAGATGGAGAGTGCACAATGAGCCAGCCCCACGGCAGCCCAGGGTGTCCAGCAGGGGGCACGCGGGGGGTCGTGGGGCCCGGCTTGCATGGCACTCGCTCACCAGCACAGCGGTTACAGCACAAGCTAACGGTGGCCACGGGGAGAATAAATAAATTACAAAATATATTAACACTGACGTTAAAAAAAACCAACCACCAACTGCCCTGGAGGAGGGGCCGTGCCCCGGGGGACCCCCCAAAGACAGTGTCCAAAAACAGAGAGAGCTCTGGGGATGCAGGAGCCGTGGGCTGGACGGATGCTCACCCGTCCGCGGGGCCGGTTCACTACCAGTGTCTGGCTCCAAACAGCACCGGGGTCTGGGGGGAGCCACCAGGCGGGCTGAGCAGTGCCGACCCCCCAGACATACCCGTGGCTCCTGGGGCCCCTCCCATCTCTCCAGCACGGGCAGCCGCTGAGAGCTGCCGTCAGCAGGGCCATCAAAGACCCCAGTCCAGTCGGCACAGGAGGGGCTGGGCTATGCCCAGAGCAGGATCTCGGCCCTGCCCGACCAGCCCCCCACTTCTTTGCCCTATGGCTGGGCAGCAGCTGCCCCTGCTTCTCCTCCCAGCCCGCGGGGCGGGGGGGGCAGCGTAGAGCTACGGCCCCCAGGGGCAGGACTGGCTGAAGTGCCGGGGGCAGCAGGGGGCTCTCCAGGTCCCACCTGACTGCCTCGGCTCAGCGGGCACCAAGTGCTGCCCCCCGGCTCCCGGAAGAACCCCCGGGGTAGGTGGGGGTGGCACATGGTTTGGTATCAGCTATGCCCTGCCCCCCGCCTGCCGTGGAGCTGCTCGCTCCTCCCCCCCCCCCGTGAGACCCAGTTCGGTCCCCAAATTCCTTCCTGGGGGGAGGGGTCCTGGGCTCCCGGGCGGCCTGGCATTAGCACTCCAGGGTAGCGCCGAAGCTCCGGCGGCAGTCGATGGCCTTGGAGCTGGGTGGCTGTGCCCGCCGCCGTGTCACCTCCTCCTTGCCCAGGCTGCTGGCCACCTTGGCGTAGGCGGCTTTGTACTTCTTGTCGAAGGCGGCTGCGGGGGAGACGGGGATCAGGCACTGAGGGGCCGGGGCCCAGCCTGCAGCCAACCCGGGTCCCCCAGCCCCTCCACAGGCCAAGCGAGTGTGGTGCCCCCCTGCAACTCCTCAGACCAATGGGCCCGGCTGGCCTGCTATCCGCCCCCCCGCCGACCAATGGGCCCAGCTGGACCCATATCCCCCCCCCACAGACCAATGGGCCCGGCTGGCCCAGTATTCCCCCACACCCATGCAGACCAAATGGGGCGCCCTGCCCAGCCAGGCCAGTCTCCCCCCCCTCCTCCCCACCACTGGGCCCGGCAGGCCCAATATCCATGCCTCCCCTCGCCCACCAATGGCCCGGCCGCAGGCTCCTCTCAGTCCCTGTTCTTTCCAATGCCCCCCCAGCCCCATACCAATGCTGACGTGGTCCCTGCCCAGTGCAGCCAGCATGAGGAAGAGGATCTCCCGGTAAATGCTCCTACAGGAGGACGGGGAGAGAGTGACACTGAGTGGGGGAGACAGAGCAGAGGGAGGGAGAGCAGAGGGGGGAGAGCGGCAGCAGCCAGTACCTCTGCAGGGGACGGAGCCAGGGGCAGGGGGTGGTACCTCTGCAGGGGTGGGGGGTGGGGTCTGGGGCAGGGGGCGGAGCCAGGGGTGGGACCTCTGCAGGCCAGGGGGCGGAGTCAGAGGCAGGGGGCGGACCTGAGGTGGTACCTCTGCAGGGGCGGGGTCTGGGGCAGGGGGCGGAGCCAGGGGTGGGACCTCTGCAGGGATGGGGGCGGGGTCTGGAGCAGGGGGCGGAGCCAGGGGTGGTACCTCTGCAGGCCAGTTGGCGGAGTCAGAGGCAGGGGGCAGACCTGAGGCGGTACCTCTGCAGGGGCGGGGTCTGGGACAGGGGGCGGAGCCAGGGGTGGGACCTCTGTGGGGGGGCGGGGTCTGGGGCAGGGGGCAGAGCCAGGGGTGGGATCTCTGCAGGGGGCGGAGCCAGGGGCGGTACCTCTTCAGGGGCGGGCAGCTGGGACAGGGGGCGGACCTCTGCAGGGGTGGGGGGCGGGGTCTGGGGCAGGGGGCGGAGCCAGGGGCGGTACCTCTGCAGGGGCGGGGGGCTGGGCTCCACAGCCAGGGTCTGCAGGAAGAGGGCGATGGCCTTATGCATCTCGCCCAGCCCCACATGGCTCAGCACGGCCTCCAAGAACGCCAGCGAGAAGGGGCTGCTGGGATGGCGCCAGGACTGCAGCCGGGCAGCACTGTTCCCTGTGGGGAGAGAGTGGGGGTCACTGCACAGGCCGTTCCCTGCCCCAAGCCCCAAGGACACCGCCCCAACCCCCCGTGCTGACCCACGGCACCCCTCCCCCACCCCACCCCTGTGCCCCCGCCCCAGCTTCTCACTGTGGATCCTCCAAAGCACATAGAGGGGGGGGCAGCTGTTGGGGTCTGGGGTCAGGACATCCCACAGCAGGCGTACGCACACCGGGGGGGCCTCCAGGGGCTGGACCTGCAAGAGAGACGTGCGGGGGTGCGGGTCAGGACCCGGGGGGGACCCCCCAGCTCCCGGGCTGCTCGCTGGTGCATGGGGCGGGTGCCCCTCCCCCTCCCGCAGGCCCCGTACCTGGGGCGTGGGCCTGACGTGCTGGGAGGCCAGCACCAGCTGCAGCAGGTTGCTGGGCAGGCCGAGGCGCTGGAAATACCAGACCAGGTTCCAGTATATTATGGGATGGCTGTCCACCAGCTCTGGCTGGGCCAGGAACTCGCTGCCCTCGTTCTCCAGCAGGCTCTCCAGCTCCTTGCGCAGCACCAGGGGGCTCAGGTAGGCGAAGGTCACGAGCTCCGAGCGTGGGGCAGGGCCCCTGGGCCCCTGCAGGGAGACGGGCTGCGCTCAGGGCCCACTGACCGGCCTGCCCCCCGCCCAGCTCTGCCCGCGCCCCTCTGCCGGGCCACAGCCCCCCGCCCAGCTGTGCCCGCGCCCCTCTCCCAGCCCCCCACCCAGCTGTGCCCGCGCCCCTCTCCCAGCCCCCCGCCCAGCTCAGCCCGCGCCCCTCTGCCGGGCCAAGGCCCACCGCCCAGCTGTGCCCGCGCCCCTCTCCCAGCCCCCCGCCCAGCTCAGCCCGCGCCCCTCTGCTGGGCCAAGGCCCACCGCCCAGCTGTGCCCGCGCCCCTCTCCCAGCCTCCCGCCCAGCTCTGCCCGCGCCCCTCTGCCAGGCCACAGCCCCCTGCCCAGCTCTGCCCGCCCTGCAGTCCCAGCCCTCCCTCGGGCAGGGGCGGGTAATCCTTGGGCAGTGCAGCCAGGTGCCTGGCGGAGTCAGGAGTGTGGGGCTCTGAAGGCAGTGCCCGCAGCGCCCCCTTCTGGCTGGCTCTGGGGGGAGCCTCGCTCAGCTGCAGGGGGCTGGTCTCAGGACTGATGGGGCGGGGAATGGGGGGGGCCGTACCGAGTCCACGCAGCCGTTGCAGAGCGACGGGGGGTCCCCTGGCTGCGGCTCGGCCTCGTCCAGAGCCAGGCACTGGGAGCGGTCGCTGAGCACCGGCCCTCGGGCAGCTGGTGGCTGCTCCCCGCGGCTCTGGGGAGACTCCGAGGGGCTGGGGAGGGAGGGAGCTGGTTACTGCTGGGCTGCTCGGCACCAGCCCCCACGCCTGGGGGGACACAGCTCCTTAACAGCCTTCCCATCAGCCAGCCCCCGCCCAAGGGCGGTCGCCACCCGACGGTTCTCATGACGACGGCGCACCCGGCGAGATCCCAGAACAAGGCAGGTTCCAGACCCCTGAATGATGTGAGCCCGCCCCCCAGGCCATCTCCCGCCCCGAGATTCCCCGCCCATCGCTCCCCCAAGTCACCCCACGCCCCAGACTTCAGAGGGCAGAGCATGGCACGGCAGTGGGGTTCTCCCCCGCCAAGGATGGGAGAGCTGCAGGGCGGTTTCCTAATGGGGGGGACTGCAGGGGGGTCCCCCTGAGGGTGGGGGGACCTCAATGGGGTCCCCCACAGGTGTGAGGCTGCAGTGGTGTCCCCCACAAGGACAGGGAGGGTACAGGGGGACCCCCTTGAGGGCGGGGGGTGCAGGGGGTTCCCGCCGAGGGCAGGGTCTGACCTGGGGGGCTGCTGGAAGTCCTGGATCTCGATGCTGAGCAAGGGCACGAAGGGGCGGGCGCAGAAGGGGCAGCTGGTGTTGAGGTTGGAGTCGTCGGGCGTCCAGCCGGCCATCACCTCCTCGTCGTGCACCAGGGAGCCGCACGCCTGGCACCGCGAGCAGCTGGAGAGCCGGATCTGCGGGGGGGACTCGGCTCAGCCCCAGCCCCAGCCCCACCCCGCAGCTCGCCCCGGGGGGACGGGACTCAGCCCCAGCCCCACCCCCGCAGCTCGCCCCGGGGGACGGGACTCAGCCCCAGCCCCACCCCCGCAGCTCGCCCCGGGGGACGGGACTCAGCCCCAGCCCCAGCCCCACTCCGCAGCTCGCCCCGGGGGACGGGACTCAGCCCCAGCCCCAGCCCCACCCCGCAGCTCGCCCCGGGGGGACGGGACTCAGCCCCAGCCCCAGCCCCACCCCGCAGCTCGCCCCGGGGGGACGGGACTCAGCCCCAGCCCCAGCCCCACCCCCGCAGCTCGCCCCGGGGGGACGGGACTCAGCCCCAGCCCCACCCCGCAGCTCGCCCCGGGGGGACGGGACTCAGCCCCAGCCCCAGCCCCACCCCGCAGCTCGCCCCGGGAGACGGGACTCAGCCCCAGCCCCAGCCCCAGCCCCACCCCCGCAGCTCGCCCCGGGGGACGGGACTCAGCCCCAGCCCCACCCCGCAGCCCCCCCAGCCCGCCCCGGGGGACGGGACTCAGCCCCAGCCCCACCCCCGCAGCTCGCCCCGGGGGGACGGGACTCAGCCCCAGCCCCACCCCGCAGCTCGCCCCGGGGGGACGGGACTCAGCCCCAGCCCCACCCCGCAGCTCGCCCCGGGGGGACGGGACTCAGCCCCAGCCCCACCCCGCAGCTCGCCCCGGGGGGACGGGACTCAGCCCCAGCCCCAGCCCCAGCCCGCCCCGGGGGGACGGGACTCAGCTCAACCCCACGCCTACCCCGCAGCTCGCCCCGGGTTGGGGGGTACTCGGCTCAGCCCCACCCCCACCCCACAGCTCGTCCCAGGGGGGGACAGGGGACTTGGCTCAGCCCCACCCCCTCCCCGCAGCTCACGGGGGGGGGAGGGGGAGGAGGAACTCCGCTCAGCCCCACCCCCACCCTGCAGCTCGCCCCGGGGGGACGACTCAGCTCAGCCCCACCCCTACCCCCACCCCCCAGCTCGCCCCCGGGGGGGGAACTCTGCTCAGCCTCACCCCCACCCCACAGCTCACCCCAGGGGGCGGGGGAACTTGGCTCAGCCCACCCCTACCCCCAGCTCGCCCCAGGGGACTCCCACCCAGCAGGCACGGCCTCAGGCAGGTCCGGGGGGGGGGGGGGGGGGGGGGCTCATCTCTCCAGCCCAGGCCTAGGGCAGGTCAGGGGGACCTCACCTCCACAGGGGGCAGCTCCGGCCCGGCCAAGGCCTCGGGCAGCGGGTCCGACGACTTGCGCAGGCTAAAGCTGCCAAGCGACGTGTCCGACAGGTCAAACTCGCTGCCCAGGGAGACGGAGCTCTGGGGGGAGAGGAGACGTGAGCCCCAGGGGACCCCCCAGCTCAGTGAGACCTCCCCGCAGGAGATGCTGATGCTGCTCCCACCCATGCCAAGGTCTCCAGCCCAGCAGCTCACGCGGGGGCACCAGGTCCCTGCCAGTTCCAGGAGTGCAACACCCTCAGCCCCAGAGCAGGGTGTGGGGGGGTCCTGCCCACAGGCCTAGCCCAGCAGCTATGGGGGAGGGTCCCCCCAGTCCAACCCCCACCCAGGAGCAGTGGGAGGCGCGTCCCAGCCCCTACCTCTGAGGCGGTGGAGTCGGGGCGCTCGTGGGGGTGCAGCAGGCTCTCCACGGGGCTCTTGCGCGGCGGGGGCTCTGTCTGCTCCGAGGCCCGGCGCAGGGAGCCAGCGTCCCACCGGGTGCTGGGCTGCTCCACGCTGGCGGTGTGGCGCAGGGAGGGGCGCTTGGCTGGGGATAGCAGCTGCTGCAGCTTGGCGGCCAGCCCCCGGCGCGGCGTCCCCCCCAGGCTGTTCTGGTTCTCGTCGCGCCGGCCCAGCTTGGAGCCCCGGGCGCCCGGCCCCAGGCTCAGCTGCACCTCAGCGCTGTCCAGGGCCGGCCGGTCGCTCTCGTCCGTCTGGAAGCTGAGGTCAGACAGGCTCCCGTCCTCCGAGCTGCCGGGCCCGTCCAGGAGCTGGCGCAGCCCGGGGGGGAGGGCGACGAACGAGTCGCTGCCAGGCTCCAGCACCCCCAGGGCCTTGATCACTGGGGGGAAAAACAGGGTTACGGGGGGTGGGGGGCGAAGCCGGGTCCCTCACAGCTCCGAACCCCAGCACATCCCCCAAGCCCGGTGACCCCCGCACCCCTACCCGGGAGTGCCTGAGCAGGGGCCCTGCCCCCGGGTTTCGTCTTGCCCACCCCCTCCCGGCGAGCTCCCTGCCCCACCCCGCCAGGCTGCGACTCACTCTGGGCCACGCCGGTCTCCACGGCGGAGGTTTCGCTGCGGGGGAAGGTGCCGCTGTTGCTCTTCGCCAGCTGGCGGCCTGGCGAGGGCTCACGCAGGCTGCGCCCAGCCCACGTGGTCTGGCGCTGAAGGCTGGGGCGGGGCTGGGGGCCCTGGTTCTCTGCACAGCCAGGGAGCGAGAACATGGGCTGCTGGCCGCACCCCTGCCCCAGGGGCCCGGCCCCCTACCCCCACCCTGGCCAGCCCCACCCCTGCCCAGGGGCCTGGCCCCCCTACCCCCACCCCTGCCCAGGGGCCTGGCCCCCCTACCCCTACCGGCCCCACCCCTGCCCAGGGGCCCAGCCCCCTACCCCCACCCTGGCCGGCCCCACCCCTGCCCAGGGGCCCGGCCCCCCTACCCCCACCCTGGCCGGCCCCACCGCTGCCCTGCCTGGCCCCCCTAGCCTCGCCCCATGGGCCCAGCCGGCCCCACCCCACATGCCCCACACACCTGGCAGGGTGCTGCCGTGGGCCTCGCTCTCCAGCTGCCGCTGCCGCAGGGGCTGCCGGAACTGGGCGGTGCCCAACACCACGTTGCGCAGCTTGGCCCAGCGCAGCCGCCCGCCCTGGGTGCCCGAGGGCCACTTGCTCTCCAGCACGGCCTGCAAGGGAACGAGCCCCCCGGGGCCACGGGTTACCTGGGAGATCGGGGGAGGGGGCCCCCCCATGTTCCCCCCCCCCAGCAGCAGACACGGCCACGCTCTCGCCCCCCAGGGCACAGCATCACCAGAGGGATCACTCCCCGCCTCAGCCCTCAGGGCCCGCCCTGGCCCCAGCCCCAGGCGCCCGCCCGCCCCAGGCTGATACCTTGTTGTAGTAGCCGTAGGTGACGGTGTTGGGCACGATGCCAGCCCGTTTCATCTCGAGCAGGACGCGGACAGAGAGCACCGGCTCGCCGTACTGCCCGCACAGCTGCATGAGACTGCGGTAGCAGACCTGGGGGGCAGGAAGCACAGGGCACCGTGAGGGGGGTGGGGGAACCCGGTGCCGCCCTGTGCAGTCAGCCGGGTGGGCGCTGCTGGGTCACGTGGGCAGGGCGCGGGGGGCTGGTGCTAGGGGCACGGGAGGCAGGGGGGTCCGCACCTCGTCTGGCAGCACCACCTTCCTGCTCTCCATCTGCTTCAGCACTTCGTAGGCCGTCTGCAGCGCCCGCACCTTGGAGGGGGCAGCCCGCACGTAGGTGGGCAGGTAGATGAACCATAGCCCGTAGCAGTGCCCCAGGAGGCATCGCGCCCACATGTCGGGCATGGACGAGTACTTCTGTGCCACCCGCTGCGCCACCTTCATCTCCTGGGGGGGACAGCCGGGTCAGGGGGGCCAGCTCTGCCCAGGACAGGCCTCCCCACCGCCTCCAGGGGCTGGCACCCCATCAGTTCTGCCTAGGTCAGGCCCCACCCAGCTCCACCCAGGACAGGCCTCCGCCACCCACCCAGCACCTGGCAACCCCCCCCGCAGCTCCCCCAAGGACAGGCCACCCCCCCAGGGGCTGGTTCCCAGTGCTCGTTCCCGGTGTTCCCTGCAGGGAGGGCTGAGCCCAGCCCACTCGCTGCACTAGTGAGCCTGGGCCGTCACCTGCTTGGTCCTGCGCGGTGCGGGGCTGCTGGGGGCGCTGCTCTTGGGCTGGCACAGCAGAGCCGCCAGCTGGTCCTGGGAGCGCTCGAAGAGCTCGGACCGCAGCACGGGGAAGCTGTCATAGCTGTGGGGGAGGAGAGGGGGCGTCAGGGAGCGGCTAGAGATATGGGGGGGACCGGGTCGCTGGGGGGGGTCTCACCAGTAGAGCGCGGGCAGCTCGGCGCCATCGGGGCCCAGGGGCTCTTCGGGGGGCATGATGAAGACTGTGTGCTCACTGCCGTGTGAGTCGTCCAGCTCCATCAGGGGCGCGTCCTCGGCCTTCTCCAGATCCACCTGCACCTGGGGAGGGGAGTGCGGCTCGGGACGGGCCAGCATGTCCCCCAGAACACCCCCCGGCTGGGAGCTCCCTGCCCCAGAACAGGGCCGCCTTGGTCTGCCCACCCGCCCCAACACTGGCCGTGATCCGGGAGCTGCCTCAGCCCCCGCCCAGTTCAGTCACAGGAGTGGCCTGGTCCAGGCCCCCGAGCCCCACGGGATGGGGGTGAGCAGGGGGTGGGGGTGAGCAGGATCTGTGGCTGAGCAAGTTGCAGGGACAGCCCTTGGGTGGAGGGGTGAGGCACTGCAGGGGGCGCCAGAGAGGGGTGGGGTGTCATCAGGGTGGAGGGAGGGGGAGTTAGGGGCACCAGGGGGCAGGGGCGGGGCATTGTTAGGCATGTCAGGGGCAGCATGTTGCTAAGAGCCGGGGGGGGCATTGCTAGGGGTGGGATGTTGTCTCCTGGCAACTGATGGCCTGGCCCTTCCTCCCCTGCAAGGTGAGAGCTAAAGGGCTGGAGAACAAAGGAATCAGGTGGCCTCCTGGCCCGGGAAAGGGACAAAGCCCAGAGGAGGGGGGGCTGGGTGGAGTTTCAGTTTGGGGCTGGCTGGAGATGAGGAGTGAAGTGCAGACGTGGTTGTCTGGCTCACTGCCCCCCAAAATGGACCTGGCTGAGGGGTCCTGTTCTCTGGACCTGCAAACTCTGTGTTAGACCATGTCCCTGTCGTCTAATAAACCTTCTGTGTTACTGGCTGGCTGAGAGTCACGTCTGACTGCGGAGTTGGGGGGCAGGACCCTCTGGCTTCCCCAGGACCTCGCCTGGGCAGACTCGCTGCGGGGCAGAGGAGGCTGAAGGCTCCGAGGTCAGACCCAGGAAGGTGGAAGCTGTGTGAGCTGCTTTCCCTGGGGACAGGCTGCTCCCAGAGAGGAGACTTCACCCGAGTCCTGCCTGGATTTGTAGGGAGCAGTTCCAGAGCATCGCCCGGGGACTGTGACAGGGTGTTGCTAAGGGTGGGCCAGTAGGACCAGGAGCAGGGAATTAGGAGGGTCAGAGGCAGGGTGTTGCTGGGGTGCCAGGAGCAGGGTGTTGGGGGCGTCAGGGGCAAGTGTTGCTAGGGGCGGGGCGTTGCTGGGGTGTCAGGGGCAAGCGCCGCTCGGGGCGGGGCGTCACCTTCTCGACGCAGGTGTCGAAGAACTCCAGGCAGGCGTGCCGGTCGCTGACGAAGGAGCACTCCTGGATGAACTGCGTGAAGAGCTGCGTGCGCAGCAGCTGCCCGTAGAACTTGTGGTAGGCGCGGTCCCGGGATTTGAGGAAACCTGGGGGGGATGGGGGAGGGGGGTCACATGGGAGCTCAGCCCCCGCCCCCCATCCCCCCCAGGTGTGCCCCCCTCACCCTGCAGGAAGAAGAGGCTGCTGGAGTCGTGGGTGGTGTCGCAGGGCGCCTGGGTGATGGGCAGCAGGAAAGAGCGGTACCCCTTCAGCACGCAGGCCATGAAGCGCAGGAAGGAGGCCTGGATCTCCAGCTCCAGCTGCTTGCGCCGCCCGTACACCAGGTCGTAGTCGGTGAGCAGGAACTCCAGTGACGCCTCCTCCACCGGCTTGTTGTACACTGGGGGGAGCAGGGGGTTAGCACGGCCCCCCCAGACGCCCCGCCAACCCCCCCAGCTCCCCACTCACTCTCATCCAGCTGCTGGAAGTGGGCACGCAGCGCAGCCAGCAGCACCTTGCAGGGCCGGCGGGGCAGTGAGCGGGGCGACAGCAGCTTCCTCTCCTCACTCCTGGCAGGGGAGACGAGACAAGAACAAAGCCGGGCTGCCCTCACCGTTAGCGCCTCCTACTGGGCTGCCCCGGCCCCCCGCTCACCCTCCCCGGCCCAGCACCGGGACGCAGCCACTCCTGGGCTGGAGAGGGGGCGGACGCCACGTCGCACGGAGCTGCGAGGGTCGCGTTAGGGGAGGGCCGCCCAAGGGCCAGGCAGGACACCGGGGTTCCCCCTGGGGACATGCCCAGGAATACGGACGCCCGGGGCCCGCTCTCCCGGAGCGATGGCTGGGGCGGGGACCGGGCCCAGGGGAGCTCACAGGAAGATGGTGTTGGTGTCGAGGTCGACACAGATGACGTCGCGGGGCGGGTCGTGCAGGTCGAAGTAGCTGGAGTGGATGCCGACGATGAAGGGCACGGGGGCGCACAGCACGTCTGCCAGCGTCAGCGGGCACAGCGGGATGTAGGGGCACTGCCAACGCAGCGGGAAGATCATCTGGGGCGGGGCAGGGAGAGAGGAGTCAGCGAGCCCAGGGGGCGGGCCCACTGCCCTCCCCACCCCAGGGCCAGACTCACGGAGACGAGCGCCTCGCTCACGCTGGTCAGCACATCGGGCCGCAGCGAGTGGATCAGCAGCTTCTGCTCGGTCAGCACGGCCAGCAGCAGCGTGACGGCGTTCTCGGGGCCCAGGTTCTGCAGCAGGGTCAGGAAGCTGGCTCCGCTGTGGGGCAGAGGGGGGAGAGGATGCAGCATCCAGACAACACAGAACCCCCTCTCCCCCACCCACAACACAGCCACGGCCAGAGCGGGCACTGCCCGTCCCCCCCAAATCACCAAAGGGATCCTGAGCCCCTAATCCTCCCCCCAAGGCATGAGCACCCCCCAGGCTGCCCCGACCACCCCCCGGGGGCTGTACCTGAGCGGCAGCGGGGAGGACACAGGCTGGCACAGCAGCAGGTTATCGTAGGGAGACATCTGGAGGGAGACGAGATTGACGGCATGGTCGGTTTTCTCAACCTGGGCAGACATGGGGCAGCCCCGGGGCAGGGGACAGCCCAGGGAGCAGGGAAGGGGGGTGGTATGTGAGGGCAGGGGGAAACCCCAGGGCAAGGATGGGGAGGAGCGAGGGGCAGCCCAGGGGGCAGGGATGGGGGCAAGCAGGGGGCAGCCCAGGGGGCAGGGTGTGACGAAGTGGGACTATTCTTAATGTTTCCTCTGAATAGTGTGGGGGTGCCTCAGTTTCCCCTAGGCAGTTCTTAAGTATCTAGGGGGTGGGGTAAGGGTGTATGATCATTGCAGAGCCCTAGAGGGCATGTGTGTGCAGGAGTCTGGACACAGAGAATGGCCGACACCCTGTTTCCTGGCAACTGATGGCCTGGGCCCTTCCCCCCTGCAAGGTGAGAGCTAAAGGGTTGGAGAACAAAGGAATCAGGTGACCACCTGGCCCGGGAAAGGAACAAAGCCCAGAGGAGGAGGGGCTGGAGGGGAGTTTCAGTTTGGGGCTGGCTGGGACATGGAGTGAAGTGCAGACGTGGTTGTCTGGCTCACTGCCCCCCAAAATGGACCCAGCTGAGGGGTCCCGTTCTCTGCACCTGCAAGCTCTGTTTTAGACCATGTTCCTGTCGTCTAATAAACCTTCTGTTTTACTGGCTGGCTGAGAGTCACGTCTGACTGCGAAGTTGGGGTGCAGGACCCTCTGGCTTCCCCAGGAGCCCCGCCTGAGCGGACTCGCTGGGGGAAGCACACGGAGAGGCAGAGGATGCTGAATGCTCCGATGTCAGACCCAGGAAGGTGGAAGCCGGGTGAGCTGTGTGTCCTGAAGACAGGCTGCTCACAGAAAGGCGACTACCCCAGAGTCCTGACTGACTTCATGGGGAGCAGTTCCAGCATCGCCCAGGGACTCCGTGACAACTGGTGGCAGCGGTGGGATGTACTGCACCCCGTGGATGGTGCTTCCTGCAGTAAGTGACTGGGGAGCAGTAACACGAAGGGGGATTGCCGAGGACCAGGCCTGCTGAAGGCTCAGAGAGGAGCGGTTTCGGGGGGCGGTTAACCCCTGGAAGTGTGTGACCAGCGAGAAGGACTGTGCAGTAACAGGGTTCCCCTGGGGATTGCAGCGAGCAGTCCAAGGGGCGGAGGAGTCTGCAGCTCGACCCTGGCAAAGAGGTGGTGACCTCGAGAAGGGCTGACACACTAGGGGTTCTCCCTGGAAACCGTGGGGAGCTGAGAACACACGGGCCTGTGAGTCCACAACAACTTGGGAGGAGCGGAGTGACGGCCTGTCACCGTCTCCTTAAGAAGGACATTGTAACCCTGTGCAAAAAGAGAGGGTTGAGCATTGGAAAGTTCACCAAAGCAGAGTTAATCGTGCAGCTGGAGGAGGATGACCGCTCTAAGGAACAGATTCCTGACCCCAACTGGGGCTATAGCAGGATCTGGGAGCAGCTGGAGCGGGAGCCAGGCATCGCCAAGACTCCTGTCCCCGACCAGACGAGGGTCTTCACGATCAGGTTCCCCATCGGGGGATCGAGACGGACGGGATTGGAGCTGAGTCTGAGAGAGCAAGAGGACTGTGGGGGACAGCGAGAGCCCGAGAAAGAGCTGCAGAAGCAGCAGCAGCATGAACTGGCGGTGGGGGAGCGGAGAGGCCTAGGGGACCTCCCCGGGGTGAGTGGGGATAGATCCCGGGGGGCCAGTTCCGCAGGGAACCTCGAGACTAAATTGCTGCCCCTGGTTAAGGAGGGGGGGGTGTGGATGCCCACCTCACTGCCTTTGAGCAGGCTGGCGATTTGAACCAAGGGGACCCTGCGGAAAAGCCCCGGTGTCTAGCTCCCTTGCTGGGTCCCAAGGCCATAGACTCCGTCAGCCAGATGGTTGGGGATGTGGACAGGCTCCCACTCCTGACCCCAACCTATATGTCTGTGTGGAGTTTCCTGGGGCCAGGCCCCTCGGACCTCCAGTGGGAGCAGAAGGTGATGGTCAATGGGGAGACATTCTTGGGGTGGCCAAAGGGCATGGGCTGCATAAACCTTCCCACATGCGGCCTGCGAGTGCTATCGACCACCCCTGACCTAAGGGAGGGTGTGAAAATGGAAGGGCCTGGTGTAACTCCTACCAAGGAATGGGAGAGATGCTGGGGCATCCATGGGAACGTTGGTGGCTTCGAACTTCCCCAGGTCACCGGCTAAAGTGACCCCGCTCAGTTCGATCTCGAAGGGGGGAGAGATGTGACGAAGTGGGACTATTCTTAATGTTTCCTCTGAATAGTGTGGGGGTGCCTCAGTTTCCCCTAGGCAGTTCTTAAGTATCTAGGGGGTGGGGTAAGGGTGTATGATCATTGCAGAGCCCTAGAGGGCATGTGTGTGCAGGAGTCTGGACACAGAGAATGGCCAACACCCTGTTTCCTGGCAACTGATGGCCTGGGCCCTTCCCCCCTGCAAGGTGAGAGCTAAAGGGTTGGAGAACAAAGGAATCAGGTGACCACCTGGCCCGGGAAAGGAACAAAGCCCAGAGGAGGAGGGGCTGGAGGGGAGTTTCAGTTTGGGGCTGGCTGGGACATGGAGTGAAGTGCAGACGTGGTTGTCTGGCTCACTGCCCCCCAAAATGGACCCAGCTGAGGGGTCCCGTTCTCTGCACCTGCAAGCTCTGTTTTAGACCATGTTCCTGTCGTCTAATAAACCTTCTGTTTTACTGGCTGGCTGAGAGTCACGTCTGACTGCGAAGTTGGGGTGCAGGACCCTCTGGCTTCCCCAGGAGCCCCGCCTGAGCGGACTCGCTGTGGGAAGCGCACGGAGGGGCAGAGGATGCTGAATGCTCCGAGGTCAGACCCAGGAAGGTGGAAGCTGTGTGAGCTGCGTGTCCTGAAGACAGGCTGCTCACAGAAAGGCGACTGCCCCAGAGTCCTGACTGGCTTCATGGGGAGCAGTTCCAGAGCATCGCCCAGGGACTCCGTGACACAGGGATGGGTGTGAGTGCGGGGCAGGGTGAGGGACAGCCCTGGGGCAGGGATTTGGGGGGCTCACAGGAGCCTCGGGCTTTCATAGACATGGGCTGGGAATCACTGACCCAAAACATCAGCTGAAGGCCAAATGTGAGCAGAGTGGCCAGCGTGGAGAAAAGAAGGGCCAGGGCCAGGGCCAGGTGTGACGAAGCGGGAATGTTCTTTATGCTTTCTCTGAGTACTGTGTGGGTGCCTCAGTTTCCCCTAGGCAGTTCTTAAGTCTCTAGGTGGTGGGATCAGGGGGTGTGACTGTTGCCGAGCCCTAGAGGACCAATGTGATGGCGTCTGCACAGAGAATGGCCGACACCCTGTCTCCTGATGGCCTGGGCCCCTCCTCTGCAAAGGTGCCAGCTGAAGGGTTGGAGAACAAAGAGATCAGGTGGCCTCCTGGCCCGGGAGAGAGACAAAGGCCAGAGGAGGGGCTGGAGAGTTTTCAGTTTAGGGCTGGCTGGGGAAATGGAGGGAAGCCCAGAACTGGGGTCTAGCCTCCCTGCCCCCAGGGTGGACCTGATTGAGGGGTCCTGTTCTCTGTACCTACAAGCTCTGTTTTAGACCATGTTCGTGTTGTCTAATAAACCTTCTGTTTTACTGGCTAGCTGAGAGTCACGTCTCACTGCGGAGTTGGGGGGCAGGACCCCCTGGCTTCCCCAGGACCCCGCCTGGGCGGACTGGCTGTGGGAAGTGCACGGAGGGGCAGAGGAGGCTGAAGGCTCCGAGGTCAGGCCCAGGAAGGTGGAAGCCGGGTGAGCTTCTTGCCCTGGGGACAGGCTGCTCCCGGAGAGGAGGCTTCACCTGAGTCCTGACTGGCTTCGTAGGGAGCAGTTCCAGAGAATCGCCCGGGGACGCCTTGACTCCAGGGCAGGGCTAGCAGCCCCAGCAGAAGAGCATCTGCCCAGGGCAGGGGCCACTCACCTGCACTAGGATGCGCGGTCGCTGCGGAGACGGGAAGGGGACGTTGTGCATGAAGTGGGAGATGTGCCTGGGGGGAGAAGAGCCCGTCAGAGAGGGAGGTGGGGGCTCCCTAGCCCCTCTCACTGTGGGGGACTTTCCTCCTACCCCCCATCCATTCCCTACAGATCCACCCTGGGGTCTCCACCCCCCATCGCCCCCAGCCCCTTCCCCCCAGGTCTCCCCCTCCCCCCATCGCCCCAGGCCCCCCGGCGCTCACGTCTCCAGGGGCAGCACGTGGGGCCCCGAGATGGAGTAGCGATAGATGAACATGAGGAACTTGCGGAAGACGTCGAAGAGGGGCCAGTGCGACAGGACGCAGATGCTGCGGCGAGTCTGCACCGACTTGCTGGTGATGGGGCGCCGGTCGACCACGCTGAGCAGGCCCAGCCGCAGGCTTTGCTTCTCCGACAGCCGCTCCCGCGGGTAGGCCTCATGGAACTGGATGGCAGCGCCATACACCTGACAGGGGGGCCCAGTCACTGAGGGGGGCCATAGGCGTGGGAACTAGGGGGCGCGGGGGTGCTGCAGCACCTCCAATTTTTGTGGGGGTCCCGCCCGCCACCCAGGCTCTGCTCCGGGCCCCACACCTGGAGTCTGCACACGGGGTCCCCGCTGCTGCCGGCCCAGCCCCAGGGACTCTTCTTCCAGCCCCACACACAGGGTCCCAGCCTTTGCCCCTGACCTCTGTCTGTGTTCCCGGCCCTGTCCCAGAGCCATGGCCCTGCTCCCGGCCCCAGCTCCGGGGACTGGGGGGCGGGGGGCACGGACAGGAGTAAGGGGGCACGAGTGGGCCGACTGGCTTTCAGCACCCACACTGTAAAAAGTGTTCCAGCACCACTGGGGGGCAGGGGTGGGAGACAATGGAGCAGGAGGCCCGGTCATGGGGGGACGACAATGGGGAGGAGGCCCCAGGTATGGGGGGAGAGGACAGGGCAGGGGTGGGGCTGGCCATGGGGGGAGGAGACGACGGGACAGGGGGTCCCGGTCACGGGGGGGAGGAGACGATGGGGGGAGGAGACGATGGGACAGGGGGTCCCGGTCACGGGGGAGGAGACGACGGGACAGGGGGTCCCGGTCACGGGGGGGGAGGAGACGATGGGGGAGGAGACGACAGGGCAGGGGGTCCCGGTCACGGGGGGAGGGGACGACAGGGCAGAGGGTCCCGGTCACGGCGGGGGAGGAGACGACAGGGCAGAGGGGTCCCGGTCACGGGGGGAAGGGACGACAGGGCAGGGGGTCCCGGTCATGGGGGGAAGGGGCCGGGGTCCCGGGGGGGAAGGGACGACAGGGCAGGGGGTCCCGGTCATGGGGGGAAGGGACGAAGGGAGGGGGTCCCGGTCATGGGGGAAGGGACGATGGGGGAGGAGACAGGGCAGGGGGTCCCGGTCATGGGGGGAAGGGACGACAGGGCAGGGGGTCCCGGTCATGGGGGGAGGGGACGACAGGGCAGGGGGTCCCGGTCATGGGGGGAGGGGACGACAGGGCAGGGGGTCCCGGTCATGGGGGGAAGGGATGATGGGGGAGGAGACGACAGGGCAGGGGGTCCCGGTCATGGGGGGAAGGGACGACAGGGCAGGGGGTCCCGGTCATGGGGGGAGGGGACGACAGGGCAGGGGGTCCCGGTCATGGGGGGAGGGGACGACAGGGCAGGGGGTCCCGGTCTTGAGGGGAGGGGACCACAGGGCAGGGGGTCCCGGGCCATGGGGGGAGGAGGGGAGGTCGGGGCAGGGTAAGCAGCACCTTCGCTCACCTACCAGCAGGAGGCGCCTCCACACAGTGAGCCTGCGGCTTCTGCCTTGGAGCCAGGCAGGACCCCGATTCTGGGCTGTTCACCCCGTTCCAGGTCCCCAGAGACTCCAACCCACTGGAATGGCCCAGGCCCCCTCCCTTAATACCATCTCTCCCCCTCCAGACCCTCCTACCTTGTCCCCTGACGCCCCAGTCAGCACAAAGGTGGAGAAGACAGGCAGCTGGTACTTGGTGTTGACGGGCCAGCTCTCGATGGTGGCCCCCATGGGCAGGCAGAAGACGGGCACTGAGTCGGGCAGCGGGAATGACTCACTGTCCTGCTCAGGGTAGCGGCTCAAGAGACCTGGAGAGAGACGCACGCCACGCAGAGCGCTAGGAGAACCAGGGGGTCCGGGCTAGCAGGGGCTGTGGGTCAGGAGTGAGGGGGCTGGCAGAGCTGGAGGGGCCCAGCGCTGGGACAGCAGGGGCAGGACTGCCAGGCACCAGCACTGCTGGCATGGCTCCTGCCCACCCCATACCTGGGGCCATCAGGTCCCCACTGCATGTCGCTGGTGGGGGCCAGGTCTCCCCTACCCCCAGGCTGGGGCACAGCTTCCCCCCTCTCCCCTGGCTCAGGGGGCAGCTAGGGCCAGGTCTCCCCTACCCCCAGGCTGGGGCACAGCATCTCCCCTCCCCCCAGGCTCGTGAGGAAGCGGGGGCCAGGTCTCCCCTCCCCACAGGCTCGGGGCACAGCATCTCCCCTCCCCCCAGGCTCGGGAGGCAGCGGAGGCCAGGTCTCCCCTCCCCACAGGCTCGGGGCACAGCATCTCCCCTCCCCCCAGGCTTGGGAGGAAGCGGGGGCCAGGTCTCCCCTCCCCACAGGCTCGGGGCACAGCATCTCCCCTCCCCCCAGGCTCGGGAGGAAGCGGGGGGCCAGGTCTCCCCTCCCCACAGGCTCGGGGCACAGCATCTCCCCTCCCCCCAGGCTCGGGAGGAAGCGGGGGCTCTACCTGCTTCGTAGACCAGGGTGTTGGCTTTGGACATGGCCATCTTGTAGCACAGGAACACAGCCGGGCCCCACTGCGAGGAGAGAGCAGAGCAGGGTCAGTGGGGCTGCGGCACAGGGCAGAGGGACCCGCCCCTCCTCCTCCCGGGAGGGACAGCTGGCACCAGGTCAAAGAACCCAGCACAGCTCTGCCCTGCCCCCCTGCCCGGCACTGGCCCAGCTGCCTTCACACCCTGCCCAGAGCCAGGGGCCGCCAGGACCCACCATGCCAGCGTTGAGGTTCCTGTCGACCCGGCAGAAGGTGTGAGGCGTGTTCTCCCCCTTGCTGGGCACGACCAGGCAGATGTCGGTGATGCCCAGGGTGTTGTGGCCCTGGGACTCAGCGGCCCGGCGGTAGGTGAGGAAGGTGCGCTGGTGGCTGGCAGCGCCCGAGCTGAGGTTGGCAGAGCGGCTGTAGGGCGTCGTGCGGATGATCTCGTAGCCCGGCTTCAGGCGGTCCTTCCCCTCACAGTGCACCCTGCCGGGGATGGATGGGGCTAAGCAGGCACTGCTGTGGGGGTGGGGCACCCCACCCCCAGAGCGGTTTACCCAGCCCAGGGGGAGGGGAAGGGGAAGGAGCCCTGCCCAACCCTGGGGAGGGGAAGGGCCCAGCCCAGCAGGAGGGGTCCAGTTCAGGTGGAGGGGGAGGAGCCCTGCGCAGCAGGAGGGGGCAGAGGAGGGGTCCAGTCCAGGGAGTAGGGGGAGGAGCCCTGGGGAGGGGAAAGGCAAGGGCCCAGCCCAGCAGAGGGGGGGGGTCTAGTCCAGGGGGAGGGGGAGGAGCCCTGCCCAGCCCTGGGGAGGGGACGGGACTCCCAGAGATGGGCTGAGCGCGGCCCCCATGCCCACCCCAGCTCGATGAGGGGCGGCTTGCCGCGGCCCCGCTTGTAGCAGAGGTATGTCTGGGGGCTGCTGAGGAGGCTGGCATTCAGGTCCGCAGGGTGGCCGGACGTGCTGTTCTCGATGCAGGTGAAGCCCTGGGGCACGTCCTCGCCCTGCGAGCGGATGACCACGGCCACGTCGGTGATGGGCTCGCTGGGCCGGGCCGGCCGGGGCTGCTGGCTCTCCTCTTCCAAGGCCTTGGAGGAGTCGGTCAAGCCGGCCACCACAAAATAGTCCACGAGCTGCGGTGGCTTCTCCTCCGCCATGGCGGCGGGGTTCACGGCATCTGGGGAGGGAGCAGGAGGGCATCAGCGGGGAGGAGGGCAGGGCCAGGATGGCAGGCCGAGGGGTGAGGGACAGCGCCAGAGGCGTGGGGCCAAGGAGGAGGGGCGGAGGCGGGGGGGGACGGTGCCACAGGGGAGGGGCGGAGGCCGGGGGGGGGGACGGTGCCACGGAGGAGGGGCGGAGGCCAGGGGGGGGACGGCGTCAAGGGGGAGGGTGGAGGCTGGGGGGGACGGCGCCATGCGGGAGGGGTGGAGGCTGGGGGGGACGGCGCCATGTGGGAGGGGTGGAGGCTGGGGGGGACGGCGCCCACAACAGACCCACAAGGTGACCTCACGGAGGCTGGCCCAGCGTGGCCAATAGGAGCCACAGGATCCAGGACAGAACACGCCGTATGGTGACATCATGGAAACAAGGCTGCCAGCAGCCAATGGGGCAGCTGCTCCTGCTCCCTCCCCGGGGGAAGAAGGGGACGCGCTGGGGCGGCATCACAGGGAGCATGGGGGCAGGGCTGTTTGGGGGGCTATGGGCAGGAAAGGGGGGGCGGGCGGTTTGGGGCAGGGAAGGCAGAAGAGGGGGCTGTTTGGGGGGATATGGGACAGGGAGGGGCTGGGTAGCAGCTGCCCCGGGGCCAAGCTGGATTGATTTAGGCACAGAGTCTGAGAACCCAGGGTACCTGGGAGGCGCGACCCACTGAGCCCTCGGGGCTGAGCTGACAGAGCGAAAGTGCCAGGAGGAAGGGAGGCAGCTTCCTGTTTCCGGCTCAGGCCCAGGCCGGCTCTGACATCAAGTGACCCGCTGGAACATCAGGGGGACCCGTGAGGTTTTTGGGGGGTGATCCCTCCTGCCCCGGGATCCCCACAGCACTCCTGGTTTCTCAGGGGCTTCCAGGACTCCAGACAGGGCTCTGCCCAGGGCCTGGTGGCAGCCCCAGGCTCCCTTCTCCCTTCCCCCTTCTCCTGATGCAGGCTTCCTGCTCAAGAGCCCCGCCCCGGCCAGCTGCTGGGCCCCCAAGTGACCCACACACACACACACCCCGGCAGGGAGAAAGTCACAGACTCTCAGAGGCAGGAAGGATGTTCCCAGGGAAAGACCCGAAAGGGGAAGGAAGAGGCTGAAGGCACCAGGGCACGTTTCTGCTTCTGGCACATGGCGAACGGGGTTAGTCATGGCCGATGCAGGTGCACGACCGGGCGGGGGGGCGTGATGGGGGGTTACAGACGGAGATGGAAGAGAACCGAGAAGCCCGGGTCACGCTGTGTTCCAAATCGATGGGGCGCCCACCTCTGGTCACTGCACCCAACGCTGGTTCCCGTCTGGGAACGGACAGGACCGTCCGGGGAGGGGAGCCTCATGGAGCAGCACCGGAACGCACACACTTACAACCCAGAGAGGGAAGCCCCCTTTCACACCACACACCAGCAGCCAGCGGAACTCCCTGCCACAAGGTCCCAGCTAGGCCCAGAGCTGGGCAGGGTTCAGGAAAGGCTCTTAGGTGGAGTGGGAGGGCACTCAGCGGAGAGCAGTTTCTGAGGGCTTGAGGCCTGCACAGGGGAAAACACCCTTCCCGGGGAGGGTACCCCAAACCAGGGACTCCTGTCCCATCCATGTGGCAGCTGGTAGCAGCCCCTGGCAGGGCAGGGGGGAAACCTGGCAGGCTGGGCCTCTGGCCAGATTCGCTCTGGCAATTCCTGGGATCCTGGATGCAGGGTCCTTTGGGTGAATCAAACCAAACCCTGGCACAGCCCCCGACTAGCCGGGTCCCCCAGCTGCTCCGCATGCCCCCAGCAGGGTCACATCAGGCCAGTGGGAGCCAGTTCCCTGCTCACAATACTTCATTCTCTCCCTGTAACGGGTGCCCTGGCACTGCGGCCGCCAGCTCCTGTCGGGGGGCAGGCTCACAGCTGGCAGACTAGGCAGCCCCCTGACACGGCACAGGCGAAAAGCTAAACCAACCCAGCTCCTGCAGCAGGGTTACCATGGCGAGGGAGGCATGGGACCCAAAGGGGACCCCCCTACACCAGGGGCGACCTGGAGAGGAGCCGGGGGCATGTCAGGGCTCACCAGCAAAGGGCCACGAAAGTGCCCCTCGGGCCCGGCATGGCACAAGGGAAGAGATGCTGCTCCAGGGTGGGGAGCACATCACCTGTTCCAACTTCCCCAGAGGCTCTTGCCCCCCATCTCCCTCTCTGGGGCACAGCTGCCCCCAGCCCACACCAGGGTACCCTGCTGCTGGTCTAGATCCCACCCCTCCGCCCTGAGCAGCTCCCCCAGCCCGTCCTGGGTTTAGGGCACAGGGTGAGTGAGGGGGAAACAGCTGCCCCCCGAGAAGATCATATAAGCTGCTCGCCCATGCAGCGGGGCAGGGGGGTGTTACACTGTCCCCCGAGACCTCCCACGCCCCTAGTGCTGCATGTCATGGACTGGCCTGCTCTGCTCTGGCCCCTCAGTGACAGGCACTGCCAAGCTACCACCCGCCCTATATTTAGCCCCAGCCCATGTGATCGCTCATGCTGCAGCAGGAAGAGATTCAGGCGGCTCTTAATTTAGCTTCCTGTAACCTAATGCAGGCCACGGAGAAACTGCCCCTGCTGCCCCTCCAAAATCTACCCCCACAGCTCGTGGCTCAACCTCCATCCCCCCCACCATCCAGCCAGCCTGGCAGGTCATCTCGACTCGGGGGCTCAGTGGGGAGCCCCCCACTCGCTACACTCTGGCACAGACCTAGGGCTTCCCACCGAGCCCCACAGGAGGGGCCCTGCTGACCTGCCTCGCTCGGCCCCCAGGCCTCCCTAGCAGGACCCTGCACCCACCCCAGCCCCACCCCAGGGGACAGCAAAGGCCAGGCCTGCCTGGGGCATGAGAGGTGGTGCTAACCGAGGCTGCCTGGAGCCTGGGCACAGCCCCGGGGCAGACTCGCCAGACAGGCTGAGGGCTGCGTGGGGACAGCCCGGAGGCCTCCCGCAGTGCTGGGAGCTGCACAGACGTATTTACCTCTGATCTGCTGCCAGCGCTGCCTAAATAATGCTCAATCCTCCCTGTTCCAGACAGCTCAGCCCCCCGGCCCTGAGCGCGCCACTACCCGGCCTGCCTGGCACCTGCCGCTTCGGGGACACCCTGCCCCACAGCTAGGGGAGCCCAGGGGTCAAGGACAGCAGCAGGTGCCTTTAACCCCACTGTCCCTTGGGTTCTGTTTCTTGCTCTGGGAGAAGAGCAGGTGTAGCAGTCAGAGCAAGGGGGGCTGGGAGCCAGGACACCACAGCCGTCGCTAACTAGCCCCCGGGCCACGGACAGCACGCCTCCCCGTCCCCTGAGCGGGCGGCCCCTCGGGGCCAGCGGGGAGCTCGCCCCCCTGGCCAGGGCTGTACCTGTCTGCAGACGCACAGACACCTTTGCTCGGCCAGCACGTTACACCACCACCTCCTCGCTGCTCCGGAGGGACCCGCCAGATCCCGTCTGCCGCGGGCAGGGGCTGCGGGCAGGGGCTGCCAGCCTCCCTGCAGGCCAGGCAGGGAGAGTGGGACTTTCCATTCTTGTCCGCAATTGCAACCAGGAGGCAGCTGCCAGCCAAAGCAGAACTCAGAATGAGGAAGCCGAGAGCTCCCTGCGGAGGGGTGGGGCGGCACCCCAAAGCCAGCACGGGCGGCTCAAGGCCCGTTTCCATGCTGCCCTCTTGGGGGGGCCCCTGCAGCAAGACCGGAGAAGGGCTGTGGTCCTGGCGCGTGTACATCTAACAGCACGGCTCTGGGGCGGCTTACAGCAACGACGGGTCCAGTGCGGCCCCTCCCCGGCCACAGGAAACCACCCCAACCCTTCAGAGCCCGCCTGTGCGGGGGGACCCACCCAGGGGGTGGGCTGCAGGGACCAGGCCCTGGCACCAGCGTGGGTGGGGCCATCCCAAGCTGCCAGCCAGACCCCTCGTCCCAGCCCAGCTCCCCTGGGAACCCCCCAACACACCCTGAGCAGGGGCTCAGCCGGCCACAGGGACAGAGCTCCCTGCTCGGGGCAAAAAGCCCGGCTGCACCTGCCCCTTGGCTGGATGGACGGGGCCCCAGGCCCCAGGGGTGGCAGCTCTCACCCAGGCAATGGGGCAGCCCCCGCTGCCAGGCCAGGGTGGAGAGATCACAGAGACACAGACCCACCCACCGCCCTGCCTGGGGCGAACCTGCACCCACCGGCGGGGGGCAATGAGTTTGGTGCCCCTCCTTGGGGCACCGCATCATGGCATGTGGGGGGGGCTGGTCTTTACAGAAACCCCAACATGGAACTGGTTTCTAACAGCATAACCGAGTCACCTGCCCCACAGCCCCTGCACCTGGCCTGCCCCGCACCTGCCCCCACACACCCCCTGCACCTAGCCTGCCCCCCACATCCCCTGCAACTGGCCTGCCCCACACCTGCCCCCCCACCCCCAGCCTGCCCCCCACCCGTCCCCCCACCCCCCCTGCACCTAGCCTGCCCCCCACATCCCCTGCAACTGGCCTGCCCCACACCTGTCCCCCCACACCCGGCCTGCCCCCCACCTGTCCCCCCACCCCCCCTGCACCTAGCCTGCCCCCCACATCCCCTACAACTGGCCTGCCCCCCACGCCCCCTGCACCTAGCCTGCCCCCCACATCCCCTACAACTGGCCTGCCCCACACCTGTCCCCCCCACACCCGGCCTGCCCCCCACCTGCCCCCCACATCCCCTACAACTGGCCTGCCCCCCACCTGTCCCCCTACCCCCCCTGCACCTAGCCTACCCCCCACATCCCCTACAACTGGCCTGCCCCACACCTGTCCCCCCACACCCGGCCTGCCCCCCACCCGTCCCCCCACCCCCCCTGCACCTAGCCTGCCCCCCACATCCCCTGCAACTGGCCTGCCCCACACCTGTCCCCCCACACCCGGCCTGCCCCCCACCTGTCCCCCCACCCCCCTGCACCTAGCCTGCCCCCCACATCCCCTACAACTGGCCTGCCCCCCACGCCCCCTGCACCTAGCCTGCCCCCCACATCCCCTACAACTGGCCTGCCCCACACCTGTCCCCCCCACACCCGGCCTGCCCCCCACCTGCCCCCCACATCCCCTACAACTGGCCTGCCCCCCACCTGTCCCCCCACCCCCCCTGCACCTAGCCTGCCCCCCCACATCCCCTACAACTGGCCTGCCCCACACCTGTCCCCCCACACCCGGCCTGCCCCACACCTGCCCCCCACATCCCCTACAACTGGCCTGCCCCCCACCCCCCCCTGCACCTAGCCTGCCCCCCACAGCCCCTGCAACCGGCCTGCCCCCCATCTACCCCCCCTGCACCTAGCCCGCCCCCCACAGCCCCTGCAACCGGCCTGCCCCACACCTGCCCCCCCACCCCCGGCCTGCCCCCCACCTGGCCGCTCAGCGCCCCGCGGCCGCGCAGACCCGGGCTCGGCCCCTACCTGCCCCGCCGAGGGAGCGAGCGGAGGCTGCCGGGGCTCCCCGCACCCGCGGGGCGGGTCCTGCCGGGCGCGGGGGGGCCGCGGGAGTTCCGGGGGCGCGGGGGGGTTGCGGGGGGGCAGGGCGCGGGGGGGCCGCGGGGGTTCCGGGGGGGCGGGGCGCGGGGGTCCCGAGGGGCAGGGCCAGGTCACGCCCCGCCCCCTACCTGCGCTCGGCCCCCAGGCCCCGCTACGCGGCTCCCGCCACCGCCGCCCGGCCCCGCCCCGCCCCGGCGCCGCCCCGCCCCCTGCCGGCCCGGCGGACGCGCTGCAGCTGGCGGGGCCCGGCCGCCGGACGCCTGGGTCCGTTCGCGCCCAGCGTGCCCCGCAGCTCGCAGCCCGCCTTGCCCCGCTCACCCTCGCGGGCCCGGGCCCCTCCCCAGGGCAGCCAGCCGGTGCTGGGGGGCAGCGCCCCCCCCAGGGCCCCCCCGGGGGTGGGGAGTGGGCCAGGCCCGGTCCAGCCTGGGCGCAGAGGGAGAAGAGGGGTCCGCGCACCCCGGCACCTTTAGCTCACCAGGGCTCGTGCGTTCACCAGGACTCGGGCACTCACCAGGACTCGTGCATTCACCAGGGCTCAGGCACTCACCAGGGCTCGGGCGTTCACCAGGGCTCATGCGTTCACCAGGGCTCGGGCGTTCCCACCGGGCGCCTAGCCAGCGCTGGCACCTTGGCAGCACCAGGGAGGAAAGTCACAGCCCGGCCCAGCCCCCCGCAGCCCAGCCAAGCCGTGACCCCCGGGCCCCCGCACTGTCCCCCTGCAGCCGCTTTGTTCGAGGGCCCGGGGCCTCCTGCCCCCTCCTCGCTCCTGCGTTCCCCAGGATCAAACCCGGGGGTTTCCAGCCGACGGGGGCCAGCCCTGGACGGGGGTTGGCGGGTGGCCAACGTCCTGGTGATTGGCTCCATGGGCCCTCCAGTGACGGGGGGGTACAGGCCCCAGACAGCCAGCGCCAGCCCCACCTGCATCACTAGGCCTCCCCAGCGAGCAAACAGCTCTTTCCCGCCCCCTCTAGCTGACAATGCAGCATGTGGGGGAAACTGAGGCACACTCAGTCTTCATATAAAATATTTACAGAAAATTCCCCCTCTGACCCCAGGGTTATTCTGCAGCTTCCAGGCAGGAGTGTGAAGGCAGCACGGGGCTTCGCTGGAGGAAGAGTGGGACCCCGGGGGGCCGGGGCTGCCTCACTGAATGGAGGCTCCTGGCCACCAGGCCATAGCACCAGTTCTGTGGATCCCTGACGGGCTGGGGGGGGGAGCGGGAGTCTTGGTGACTTTTCTTTGGGGCCTCCTCAGCACAGAGCTTTGCACAGCAGGGTCAGGCTAAGAGTCAGAAGGGTCTGCAGGGAGCAGAGGCGGGAGCGGGGGTAAAGTACGGAGCAACAGGCTGAAATTAATGGCAAGAAAACATCCAGTGAGCAGGAGCAGTCACCAGGATTGTCTGGGCCAAGGAGCTTCTGGCCACGTGTGTGCGTGGCAGGCAGGGACCACGGGCCTCCTGCTGCCAAGCCCAGCCGTGGGGACCAGTGCTGAGGCAGCCAGGCCAGGGGTGCTGCAAAGGGCAGGGAGCGCTCCGGGTTCCAGTTCCAGGGACATGGGTGAAGCAGCAGCTGTAGAAATGCAGATGACAAAGGGCAGAACCTAGTGCAGTGGCCTGGGGTGGGGGGCGAGGGAGCGCAGACGCCAGCTGGATCAGGCCCAGGATCTGTCCCCATTCTTCTGGAGAGAGAGAGAGAAACAGCAGGGTCCCCACGGCTCTGCACTGGGACCAGGCCTGTTCCAAGTGATCTGGAAAAAGGGGTAAATAGGGAGGTGGCAACGTTTGCAGACAATACTAAATGACTCACAATAGTGCCGTCCAAAGCTGACAGGGAAGAGCTCCCAGAACTGGGCAACAGGCAACCAAACGGCAGATGAAATTCAATGTTGATAAATGCAAACTGATGGACATTGGAAAACACAATCCCAGCTGCACCTACAAACGGATGGGGTCTCAGTTAGCTGTTACCGCTCAAGGACGAGATCCTGGAGTCATGGTGGATAGTTCTCTGAAAACATCCACTGCGTGTACAGGGCAGGCAGAAAAGCTCACAAGGTGGAGAGGGCTACAGCTAGTACCACAGAGCACAATGTCACCATATCAATCCATGGGACACCCACACCTTGAATATGGCCTGCAGGCCTGCTTTCCTCCTCTCCAAAAATCATACTAGACTTGCAAAATGTACAGAGAAGGGCAACAAAAATGCTTAGGGGGTTGGAACAGCTTCCATGTGAGGAGAGAATAAAGAGACCAGGACTGCTCAGTTTGGAGAAGAGCCAACGAAGGGCGGCTGGGGGATATGCTAGCGGTCTATAAAATCATGGCTGGGCTGGAGACAGTGACTAGGGAAGTGTTATTTACCCCTTCACATAAGAACCAGGGGTCACCCAAAGAAATTAACAGGCAGCGGGTTTAAAACACACACGGAAATACTTCTTCACACAGCTCACACAGTCAATCCGTGGAACTCATCGCCAGGGGATGTTGTAAAGGCCAAAAGTATAACTGTGTTCAAAAAAGAATGAGATAAGGTCATGGAGGATACGTCCATCAGTGGCTGTTCAGGGATGTGACCCCCTGCTCTGGGTGTCCCTAAACCTCCGACTGCCAGAGGCTGGGACCAGGTGACAGGCGATGGATCACTTGGTATTTGGCCTGTTCTGTTCTCTCTCTGAAGTGTCTGGCACTGGCCTGTCAGAGACAGGACCCCGCAGTTAAACAGCCCCTTAGCCAGAGTCAGTGGGCCTGGGCCACCCAACACTCCCTGAGGTACCAGCCCGGCTCCTCCACACACCTGCATGGCCCATTCACTCTCCTGGGCCCTGCTTCAGCCAACCCCCACCCCTGACCCCCTTGCCCTCTGCGGGTCCTAGAACCTTCTCCTCTGCACGCCTGGCCCTGGAGCAGCCTCCCTGCTTCTCGCTGTCCTGCCCCGAGCCCCTGGCCCTTTTTTGAACACAAGATGCACTGGACAGGCCTCTCCCCTGCCACAGCTGGGGGGGTCCCCCACTCTGCTTCCAGAGA